AAAATGTGATGCCTTTGGTGTGTCAAAAATGTATAGGTAATAGTCAGTTAAAGAGAGCAGATTTGAGCTTTGCAAAATCATGCTATTGTGAGCTTGGATGACAACAATGTTTGATATAGATTGTTGCATAATCTTCAATCTTATCCGGTGTACCATTAATGTTGTAACAGTTTTGAGCGCGTAATATATTGGAAGGAAAAAAATTATTGTATTTCTTGAAAAATTATACTATTTCTAATTTTCAGTGGTCCTGGTTAAAAGTTTGCTGGTCCAATATTAGAATAGTGTAAACAAGAGTGATGGGCAGCGTAATGGTTGATTTTTGGATAGGGGCAAGTTCAGGTGAGGGAACGTGTTGTATTTATGAAATTGTCTAGGTTTGGTGTTGTGGGCTCCTCCCACTTGCATCCCCATTGTTTCTACATTTCGAAACATCATCTTTTATTAGTAAATAAATAAATTTCATTTTTAGTGTACTATAACGTCTCTCCATTATTTAGCCCCCGTTTGATCCCCATTAAATTCAATTACATTATATTTTATTTTTCTCTCTCCTATTTTCAATCACACAATCTTCCATAAAATAATATTACACGTAAATCGATAACTTTTCCTTCTTTTTCAACCACTCATTTTTCTAAAAAATATTATCCCCCATTTTCATTTTCAAGTAATGGGGGTCAAACGAGGGCTTAATAAACAATTTCAATGTTCAACATTTGTTCTCTAACTTTTATTTAAATTAAATTTCTCTTTTCGAATAGTCACTTGCTATAAAAGAAGTTTTCTAACAATTGTCCAATTTCAAAACTTTTTCAAATAATCAATGTGCTTTTAGGGTCCCTTTGATTGCAAAGATGAAATTTGGGTGAAAAGAAAACGAATTTTAGGGGATTGAATTGCCTAAAAATTATTTTCTTAAGAGTTGTAAATTATTGTGTTTGATTGGTATAATTTTCCACGTGAAAAATATTGAAATGAAAGTATTTTTTGGTATTCATTTGGTTTTATTTTACATAAAAATTATCAATTAGATGGATAAAATTTACTGGTATTGGGGATGAAATTTTTTTCCATTGCAAAAAAATAATAATAATAATAATAAAAAATTCAAGAAAATCATCTATCTTAAGGGAAATATTTTTTTTACAATAATTTTTAGAATTTGTTTCCATTACCAAAAAATAAAATCGAAAAAAAGGAAAAATCGCTACAGTAACAAGGAGTTGGTGAGAATTCCAATTCAAAGAAAAGTTGGAATTCGACTTATGTGACAAGAAAGTGGGAATTTGAATTTTAGGGAAAATTTTGGACATCAAACACCCTTGAAAGTGAAAGTTGAAATTTCAATTTCATTTTCCATGAAATTGACCTCCTATCAAACACACCCTTAAAGTTATTTTCTAGCTATTATTGTTATTTTACGTTGTTATAAAAATTAGGAATAATTGCAGCAAAACTTTAAATTTTTTGAAACACTAGCAAACCTTCTTCAAACATTTGATTTATTGCAACCATCACCTCAAACATTTTCAAACGTTGCACGGAAAACCTTTTTGGATAGTTTCCACCATTTTTCACCATTCGCTATGTGTTTGATTATATTGTTCTTGCCATTGCAAGTGCCTAGGACAATAATATGCTGCAGCTGGTGCAGGAAGGGTGTAAACTTGACTCAGGAAATAGTCGGTGTAAATATTTTAGTGGTTGAATTTGAACATGATTTTGTGAAGATTAGATTGTGGATTAGAAGGTGCGACATTACAGGATCCTTTTTCTAGTGTGGGCGAATTTGCAGAGCAGATGAGGGAAGATTTATCTCTTGTGAAAAAAAATAGAAAGTAACATTGGCGATTATCTCATAGTTCTCATCCAGCCAGAGCAAATTACAACCTTCAACAGCTAAGTACCACATCTTGAAGTTTGTACAATTACGGTCCTGTTTGAACCATATTCTTTTAAATAAACATATTATCAAACAGTGATTTAACATCATTTCAACCACACATTCTTTAATAAAATAATGTTACATTTTCTCATTTTTTAACCACACATTTTTTATTAATCTACTACTCCAAAATATATTCTTCCAAAATAATGTGACTTAAATACACACTATACTTGTTCTTTGCTCTTGCCCCGATAAACAGTAAACGCTTTAATTCTATTTTTCATTGGAGTCAAATAATACTCATATCGAAAAAAGGAAAGGGATTGAGACGAGAAAATTACTCTTTTTCCCCTTTGAAAATTTAAAAATATTGTCAAAGTTAAATTTTTATTCAACAAGCATAATTGTGTATGAAAACTGTTCAAAAGGACTTTACCTGCAATGTTTGGAAATGTTAAGGGTGACGAATACAACAAATCAAAGATTTGGAGAAAATCTGTTAATGTTTTAAATGTTTGGATTTTTTGCAACAATTATCCTTAAAAATTAACGAGTTTGATGTAGTGATTTAATCTACCCAAATGTTTCCAGTGATAGATTGAAAACAATATAAAAGTACATGTGATTATTCATTTTTTTTTAATTTTACAATTATTAAGAAACGACATTGAAAATACCATGATCACTACATTTTCAACTGTTTCATTTTCTGGCAAGATGTTATGTAAAAACTGGTTAAAAAATTAATGAAATAAGCTAAATGAGGAAAAAAATTCAACTTCAAAGTCTGTTTCCAGATTCGGGATATTATCCACTCTTGTTTTTACTTTAATATTTTAATTGTTCATTTCAATATAAAGTATTAAAAATAGGGTGATTGCTGAGAAAGATGCGAGTAGCTACTACATAGAAATTGTTATCTTCCAATGGTACCATCTGTTCGATGTCTCTTTTCCTCCAATCGTTCCTCAAATAGTTGGACATGGAACTGTAAACATGAAAAACTGAGATTAGAGATATGTCGAGCAGATGGTACCATTGGGGGATAGTGCTTTATATGTAGCAGCTTCTAGCATATTTCTCAATAATCAATTATGACTCAGTATACAATTTAGTTATACGTGGATGAGATAATTAAACTGGGGCTAGGGTTCTTTGGGACTGAAATTGGGGATATATTATTGGGACTTAAAGAGAGTTTATGGGATTGTGAAAGTTGCATTTCATATATGTTGTATTTTGGTAAGTTGATTTGATAGAGTTGTAATTTTTTTAATGATGTTAACTCAACACATAAGATTTTCGGGCAATACTTTAATAACAAAGGGAATGAAATTTGACGAATGTTAGATGAAGTGTGTCTCAAAGATGAGTAACCATTTGAAAGCATTTTGAATTTTTATGAGTAAATTGTGACCAATTATTAGTTGGATGCGTAACGAAAAATTGGTTTGGTTGAGTTGTAATTTTTTTAAAGTACGTAATTTGCCACATGAGATGGATGGATGGAATTTTTTGAAAGTACGTAATTTATTATGTAATTTTTTTAAAGTACGTAATTTTCTTTTTTAAAGAAGTGATGGATGGAATTTTTTGAAAGTGATGGATGTAGTGCAAACGAAAAAAGTTCAGTGAACACTGTTAATCGCTTTAAAGTTTATATATGTACATACATAAAAAATTGATCTCCTAGACATCAGTGCTTAGTTGATGCTAAACACTCGGGTGATGAGGCATACTACAATAGATGATGAGAAATAATGATCGGTTACAAAACTGATTATTCCACCTATTGTTGTGTGCTACATCACCTGATGCTTAACATATATTAAGTATCAATATTTAGGATATCAATTTCGTGTGTATGTATGTGCCTATATATATATATATATATACATACACATACACGCGTGAAGGACCACCAGATTCCAGATCTTTATTAGCTGTCTCTCTAAATCATATCTCCAAGTCCAATGTTACTCAACACCTATATATTGTTTCAAGTTTCAACAGGAGGGCCCCATTTTGCAACTCACTCTGACTAGAAATTTTAATTCGTGTTTAATAACTTAATTAATTAAAATTTTTCTTGGTGGTCTAATCTTTGAAAACGTGTGAGATATTTTTATAATTATACAATTATAATTAGGTTACGAAAATCGATAAAGTTATTTATAAATAAAAAATGGTCCTCATTTTAATTAAGACAACGTTTGAGCTAAACTTAAAAAAAAAAAAAAACTCATTATTCTTCGTACACATTTTTAACTACATATTTTCTCAATAAAATAATTGTATAACTACATATTTTCTCAATAAAATAATTGTACACGTAAATTCAATTTTTTTTCTTACTTTCTAACTACAATTGTTCAAAAAATTACTATCACAAAAGTTATTATCCCAAAAAATATGACTCAAACAGGGCTAAGTATTAGACATCAAGGGGTAAAACTCTCAGCAAAAGTCCCCAAACTATTTTCGGCATTGTATTTTTTATCATTAACTCTGAAAATGAAACATTCTAGTATCTCACCTTTCGCTTTTATTGCATTCATGGAAGAAGAAGACAATGATCCAAGTGAAGGAATGTTACGAACTCTGTTAAAATAATTTAATAGTTTCTAAATCAATTTCTTTTGACATCAAATTGAGTTTTTGAGTAATACAATTCTCGAAGCATAAAATGTCAAATAATTACAAAACAAGTATTCACAACTAATTTCTAGAACTATTTTAAACTAAAATAATAATTGATTTTTTACAATAAAAATAAAATATTAATAAAAATAAATAAACTAAGCTTGTAATAAAAAAGCACTAAGACGTGGAGCAACACGAGGTGTGTTTAGGTAACTTTTACATTTTTTCTCTATATGAAGTGAAATTGTTCACGCATCATGATGATTTTACCATAAAGAAAGTAAGACGCGTGCAACCATTTTAATTGTAATCTTAAAGAATCTTTCTCCTTGGACTAGGGGTTTCATAAAATTGAAAAGTCTAGGACTACAATTCTTCATTTAAAAGGTTGGAGATATAAATGCAACACATACAATAGATTGAGGACTTCAAATGCTATTTTCCGAATTCGGTCACGTATAAAAGCTTTAAAACCAGATCAGTGGGAGCAGAGCTCGAACAATCAATGGAGCTCTCTTCTTCTACATCGCACATGCTGTTAATTCTTGCATTACTGATACTCAGTTTTATGCTGAACTTTTCATCTGCAGCTTACAATGTCACGTACGACAGCCGCTCTCTCATCATCGACGGCCAGCGGAAGCTTCTCATCTCCGCTGCCATCCACTACCCTCGCAGCGTCCCCTCCGTGAGTCGTCACTTCTATTCGTGCAAGAATCCATCAAATTGATGTTCATTTTCCTCTTTTCCTTTTTGCTTCTTCTTTTAGCTTTCACTTCAGTTCCGGCTTTTGGTATCTTTCGGCGTTTCTAATTATTAGCTACATGTCTCTGAAGATAGTAGTATTATACAACAATGACAATATTAGGACGCCAATATTGGGTTTTATATCATGCAATTGCAAGGATTTTTTGTCCATTTCGTTTTGTATTAAATAAAATGCGCATGTGTATATAATAAGTACTTATTGAGACATGCTAATCAATCATGTCTTCTTCCCAAAATTCAAAAGTTGGATATCGTAATGCACTATCTCTTGGAATGGTCTCATAATTGTTTGTCATCTGCATGACAGAGTTTATATATATGAGAAAACTTTCGGTTTATATGAGTTGTATTGCTTTTGGAGAGTAATTTCTTTTAATGTTCTGTACCATTTAGAAATTAGTCTTACTAGATCTGGTGTGTTGATAGATGTGGCCAGGACTGGTACAATTAGCCAAAGAAGGAGGTGTGGATGCCATAGAAACCTATGTCTTCTGGAATGGTCATGAGCTCTCTCCAAATAATGTAAGTGAATCTAGCTCATAATGATATTGTTTCCACCCATTGGTTGGGGTTTTACTTAGTTTCAGGAAATTGTATGTCTTTTTCATCTCTTTTCTTGCATTCCTCTGTAGTACTATTTTGGAGGAAGGTTTGATCTGGTCAAATTCTGCAAGATCGTTCAGCAGAGTGGTTTGTATCTAATTCTTCGAATCGGGCCATTTGTTGCTGCAGAATGGAATTTTGGGTATGTCATCACACAGTTTTTAACTTTGAGTTCTTTGAATTTAAAGCTTATTATTAGGTTCAAGCAGCTGTACTGCTAAACATTTGTTCAATGCATTGTCCACCCTTGAAGCACTTTTAGCAGAAAGACACAACTTATATAGTAAATAGCATCTTTTTCTGAATCTATTAGTTAAAGTTTTTAAATAACTGTCTCAATGATGCCTCTGAATTTAAAAAAAAGGACAAATATTTTCCTAACAATATCTTGACATTTCATGGAACTGTTAAACTCTGCAGATAAAAATTGTGAAATTGTAATTATGTATATTGTGTTTTCCAGTATTGAACTCCTAACGAGTTTGTTAATAATTCAGTGGCATACCTGTTTGGTTGCACTACATACCAGGAACTGTCTTTCGAACTGATAATGAACCTTTCAAGGTGGGGATACATTGATTTCTATCATTCAAAGTTAACTGCTGGCTGCTTTAGAGATTGATTATTGTTTCAATTTACTGCATTGTAATTGTTACTTCTCAATGGCATTGGTTCCAGTATTATATGCAGAAGTTCATGATATATATAGTGAATTTGATGAAGAAGGAGAAGCTATTTGCATCACAGGGAGGTCCAATCATTTTGGCACAGGTAAGTAAATATTTGCTGCTTGGGTTTTGTTTCACATGTTAAGCTCTGCTCCCTTCTTTTGAAAAATTATAGCAGATACAGTAATCACTTTGTCAACACCTCAGAAGCCAAATCGACTTCATACTATTTTAACTTTAAACTGGATAATGGTGATCTTGTGTACTGTCAAGATACTAAAGCTTGAATTTCCTGTCCTGTTACTTCTGTATTAGTTGAGAATGGTTAACAATCAGTTCAAGACCTCTTCTGCTTGTGAGAGGAAAGCCTAACATTTTGTAATCATGAGGGATACACTTAAGTCATGCAATTAGACAAGGAAGACTGGTTTCTCGCCTTCAAAAGCATTTCTTCATTGTGGCTTATGTGCTCTTACGTCTATATCCGTCATAAAGGACAATGAATGTTTCCTCGAGCAATGAAGTAAAAGAACTAGATTGTGAGTAGAGACGAGAACCAGTATTTTTCTTGATGCTTGAACTGGACATGTCCGACGCCTGAGCTCTTGGGAAATTGTTCCGAGAGAGCATGGTATGAGTGCAGATATATCATAATCTTCTAAGTATTGTTTTTGAATTTTCTGTCAAATCTGATTCTAGTATCTAGAATAAGGACAACTAGGAAAAGACATTTACTTTTTCATCAGGTACGAGTCCTATTAATTTATCTATACCATATGCAAATACCCACTTTTTTCAACAAGATTGATCTCTGTAACACTGGTTCTGTGATGCAACATTGAAAAAATACTGGGGTATTGGAATAGTTGTCTGACTTATATTATTTGATTGTATGCATTTTAATTTGATCGGTACATGGGAGACACTTTTGGGTATGTGCATGGTAGAGCGTTTGAGGAGGGCTTAGGATATCCTGACAACTTGTTAAAGTGTGTTCCTGTAATGGTCTAACATACGCCAATAGCTGTAATGTTTATATACTCTTGTATTAGTGAAAATAGAATAAGATTTCCTATCTTCTTGATACAAACCATATGGTATCAGAGCAGCTTAAATAAACTAATCTCGCTTTCCGACCTTCATTTCTATTTCTTTAACATTTTTGAGGTTTCTACAATCATATTCTATCCTATTTTGGTGTGTATAACCAATTCTTTTACAGGATCTATATGTTTACAAAACTACTTTTATGTCTGAATCCTTTATCGCTAGTGATACCTATTTTTGTCTATATAGTTGAAACTAATACTTTCAGATTTAAAAGAGGATGTGGAGGAACTTTGATATGATCTTGTACTGTGATTCAAAATAACTATAAATATAGTGACTTTTCTTGTAAATTACATCAAAGAGAAAGTAGACTTACGGGTAAGCTTTCACTGCTTATGTATTATCATCTAACCAACTCAACGCATGATCACGAAGGGCTTTAGTATAACCATAGATTCGATATGACAAGATTGGAATACAAATATATTTGTACTAGCTTGAGGAGGGAGTGTTGGAATAGGGATGTCACAAGTTGATCGTGATATGTTCAGATTTGATCTTTACACATTTGACTTGAGTTTAGATCGTAATTTTTAACTCTTAATTTAAGGAAGTTCCTTATAATATTAGCATAGCTCAACCGTTGTAATTCAGTTGTATTGGTCGATAGTTAATAGTGAATAAAGTTTCCCATTTCCTCATAAAAGTTGTTTGTGTAATTAGCATTTCTCTATCTAATAATTCTCTGCTTGCATTTCTCTCACTTCTCATTCTTCTCATTGCTTATTGTCAAGCGAAGGTTGTACACATCTATTCCTTCATTTCCTGGTTGTGCAGGTTGAAAATGAATATGGTTTCTATGAGACTGCTTATGGAGAAGGTGGAAAAAGGTATGCCTTGTGGGCGGCTAGAATGGCTGTTTCTCAAAATACAGGCGTACCTTGGATAATGTGCGAGCAATTTGATGCTCCTGATCCTGTGGTTAGTTCTTGTCTTAAATGATGTTTTGCCATACGATTCCTTTAATATGGAACTGTATGAAATTGATAAAATCATGGAGTCATGAATAGTTACACACATCCGCATTTTGTTTAGCCACCCAAATACTAGCTAATCTATCAATGTAAAACTGAGGTGTTGTTAGTGTGGTGGTATTTTCCAACATTGTCGTGTGCCTTCTGTCATAATTACAGAATAAACTTCTGCGTTATTTTTATACATACTGTATTTGAATAAATAAGTTTCATTGGTTCCCTCTGTTAAGATGCCGTTTACAGAGTAAATAGAGTAGACCACTGTTCTTTTTATAAAACTGAGGTGTTGTTAGTGTGGTGGTATTTTCCAACATTGTCGTGTGCCTTCTGTATTTGAATAAATAAGTTTCATTGGTTCCCTCTGTTAAGATGCCGTTTACAGAGTAAATAGAGTAGACCACTGTTCTTTTTCTGTTCCCTTGACTGCCTTAGAGATGAAAGCATCTTAAATTTTCAAAATTTGATACTTGCAAAAGTAGCTTTAGTGATTCATTGTGTTTCCCATTGTTGGTTGTGGGACAGAAGTGAAGAAATCACCAGTGTCTATGCTTCAAAACCACATTTTGATTTAAAAGAAGATTTATGGCAGACTTGAATTCATAAGCATCTGAGTAGAAGCAGCTTACAGTGGACCTATTAAGAATATATTAGGACCCTGATCACAATGCACAAGGTATCTGAATCATTGCTTTTGTAATTTGTTGATTCTTTTCTTTTAAATGTTCTCAATGCCTGAAATTCTAAAGCTGATTGCATAGAGTCAAAGTTCTCTTGATGGCAAGGATAATCTTTTGAAGGATCTAACAAAATACTATTAAAAATTAATTAAAGAGGAAAACAATGACATTGTTTTTAAACATAGCCTGAGAATTGCCTCTGATTAAATTCTTGGTACTCTTCTCGGAGAAGAGAAAATGAAGTTTAAACCTATTTCTTTTAGTTGATTATCTGCAAAAGAAGAAATTGATTGTGTGAATGCATCGATGAACTCCTGTCTAAATGTGCTTATTTAATATCTTCAAATTGGTCTAACACCAGTTCCTTCTTCTCTTTCAGATTGATACATGCAATTCATTTTATTGCGATCAGTTCAAATCACTCTCTCCTAATAAGCCCAAAATTTGGACTGAGAACTGGCCTGGCTGGTAATACCCACCCCTTACAGTACAGATCAATTAATTCTATCTTTTTTTCCCTTGTGCTCCAGCAAGTGTTCTTGTTAATATTGTTATGTTGTATGCTGACAAGAATTTATATATATCTCCAGAGAAGCCCACATCACTTTGGTTACATATGTTTCCTTTGGATGTCAGTTTAATGCTATCCTTTCAAGTTGTAAATTGGTGCTTAACTCTACTTCTATTGGAGTGCTATATTGGCTGGCCTTGATCAATGATCACTAAGTATATGACTCCTCTAACAAATTGACCAAAGAGTTTCTGAAACTGAAGCAATTAAAGAGTACCTAAAGAAATGAAGGTGTTAAACCAAGATGAATGAATTTCGATGTTGCATGTTCCAACCTAACCAGCATCCTTAATTTGATTATTGACTGTAAAACTATATATATTTGATAATAGCTTACAGTCCTATTAAGTGTGATCAGTGATACTTCTTTAAATGGCAATCTGACAAGCAGTTAACTGGCCCCATGCTTTTCCAGATTATTGAAAAAATGTTGGATAGTTTTAGGCAAGTTACAAGTAGTGGCTTGCTCACACCTGAAATTATCCTATGCAACTCTAAATATTGTGCAGACAATGTATTCATATAGAGGGTTATTAGAAACCAGATAGAATCTATGGCAGTCCTCTTGCTCCCAGTAATTTCCACTTAAGAAGCTTTCTATTTTTCTTTCCTTACTAGAATATTGAGAAAAGTAAGTTATTCAACAAAATTTGGACTCCAACAACTTTGGCTGGGACAAAGATGCACCTGATAGGCCACCTATACAAATTAAATACCAAAGACATAAAGGCAAGGCAGGGGCAGAAAAGGAAGGACAGGAAAGAATATAACAACCAGCATGTGTTTACAACAGATTTGGTTAGTGGCTATTATATAAGCAGAGGAAGAAGGGAAGAAATGGCATCTGGAAAATCAGGAAAATCTGGGGAGATCCTGGACCTCTCGAAAGTCCATATATCCATTTCTTTATTGTCATTTCATTTCAGTTACTTCTAATTGTAGTGAAGAGTAATCTGCTGTTGATGTTAATCCAGAATTTATTTCAATACAGTAAATCATACTGAGCTGGCCTTGCTGATTTCTGTGAATTACTTATTTTAGCTGCTTGATTTCCTTGATTTCTGCTCGTTAGTCTTCTTTGGCAACAGGGTTCTATCAGCACCCTATCTCTACAATCAACTGCATTTTAGGAGCACTCACGTGGAAACTTTTGCTCAAAAAATGTTGATTCGGTATCTTATATTTGAGTCAATTGACACCAGAAGAATATTTTGGTCGAGTAAAAGATTTCATAATAATAAACTTAGGACATAGAGATCATCCTAATGGATCTGCAGCTACCGAATACTGATATATCTGCCCTAACTATTTAGAAAAGTTCAATTACATGTTTATGTGACTTAAGTGGCAATAGTTTTATAAATGAACATTATCTTTCAGTACCGAGACATTGATTTGACATATTAATTAGATAGTAGAATATTTCACTCAATAATTTCAATAGCTACATAATGCATTCAGCAATAAAAAATTTCAGGTATAAAACATTTGGGGGCAGAGATCCTCACAGACCTCCTGAAGATGTTGCCTTTTCTGTTGCTCGTTTTTTTCAAAAAGGAGGAAGCCTACAAAACTATTACATGGTATGTGTTAATTATTAAGCTATCTCCCTGCAAAGCTGCACTCTCTCCACCCCAACCTCAAGACTCCTACAACCCTCCCAAAGCCCAAAATGGAATAAAGCAGAACTGAATATGCTTTTCAACAGCGAGGTCCTTTTTGTTCCTCTTTCATTTACTTAAATCTTCTTGTTCAGTATCATGGCGGTACAAATTTTGGACGCACTTCAGGTGGACCATTCATTACCACAAGTTATGACTACAATGCGCCAATTGATGAATATGGTGAGCAATGAAATACGATTCGTCAAATGGCACGCTTGGTTTGAACACCTAAAAGGAGAATTCTTCATTTATCTTTTTGGTGTTGACTCTGGTATCTTTGATATGGTTTCCAGGCTTAGCTAGATGTCCAAAATGGGGTCACCTCAAAGAACTTCATAGATCTATAAAGTTATGTGAGCATGCATTGGTGAACAGTGAGCCTAAGGTCCTTTCATTGGGACCTTTACAAGAGGTGAAATATTTAGATATAAACAACAACCCTTTCTTAATTTTTTTTGCTTGTTTTGGCCTTGGAATATGTCGGCAAGGGTTGCTGAAGGGTTGACGGTGAAAAGTTTTCATACTGGTTACAAAATAATATCTTAAATGACCTTGATACTTTGTTGGATTTTTGTTAGCTTATTATTCTTTATTGTTCTATGTGAACAATACCTATAAATGCTTATATGAAACTAATGGCTTCATGTGAGAGGCTATGATGTTAGGGTTAAAGATAAAAAAATCTTGCCTGTCCTTGGGAATCTTTTTGTTTAAATAGTTTCCATGTGATAATACTTAAGAACATGAACCTATCTTCGATATCAAAGTTGGGTAAATTTGAAATTGTAAAAAGGAGTTTTGAAAATTATTCTCCGTATTGGATGACCAAATCATCTTAAAGTAATATATACTTAGGAGGGGTAAATTTTAATTATTTGTGCCTTCAACATGACACTCACATTTTAGCCACATTCATTTTTGCCAAAAGTCAAGCAGTGCAGTCATCAGAATTAGTGGTGAAAGACTTGAGTGAAAGACCTTTCTTGGCTTCGATGTCATATTGAATGACATTTAAAAGCTAAAGCAATTATAAAGGGATATATTTAAATATATTTACCTTAACACTCCCCGTTTGCGTCACGTTCCCATACAAGAATTTTTCTTACAGATTCGTCATTACGCATTGAATTTTCTATTTCTTTAGTTGCTTGTTAAACACTTAATGTATAGCCATACTTTTTTGTAGGCCGATGTATATGAAGATGCATCGGGAGTTTGTGCTGCCTTTATTTCGAATATGGATGATAAAAATGACAAAATGGTGGAGTTCAGAAACATGTCCTATTACCTACCGTCATGGTCTGTTAGCATTCTACCAGACTGCAAAAATGTAGCATTTAACACAGCAAAGGTAATGTTTATTAGTTCTGTGCAAGTACATCACGTCAATTGGATAGAATGTTTTAGTAACTTGTTATAGTAAGTGAAAGCAATGAGCCGTTAATCACTTCGGATTTACTCAAATTCAAGCATTATAAATAAGCCCATCAAGTAAATATGGGAGGTACAAAAATAAAAGATGGAGTTCGTAGAAAACAAGACGTAGTAGGAAAGAAGGTTGTATTATTTCCACTTAATTATCACAATCATATGAGCTCAATTTGTAATACAAAAAGAACCAAAATAGGTAATCTCCTAATCTAGGAAAAAGGAAAATTTCCTGATCTAAAGAAGGTGCACAATCCATTACACAATAGTACACAATCAATCCCATAATATACGGGATTTTTACAGAGTTCATCATCCCCCAAGGATTATGAGATCATTGTTGAATTGTTGGAGAAGAGTCCCTCGTGCATAAGCGTTGCTTGTGAAATATTTGGAAAAAAATATCACAATGTGAGTTTTATTTTGAACATTCATGAATGTGGAGTATGGTATTCAACACGTAAAGTAAACATGCTTTTTCACGGAAAGAAAGCAAGAATACAAAAATAATAAAAAAAATATGGGAGGACATTGGTAAATTTTGTCAAATATTTCTTTTATCAATAATATGGTTATAAAGTTTCTTTGACCGGTTCTTTTTCTTATTCAATTACTGTGGTATGACTCTTCATTATATCTTCTCCCTTTTGATTTAGCCAGGTTGGGTCTCAAACTTCCACGGTTGAGATGATACCAACAGATTTGCAGCCATCAACTAATTTGCCAAATAAAGACTTGAAAGGTCTTCAGTGGGATGTCTTTGTGGAGAAAGCTGGGATATGGGCTGATGCCAACTTCAGTATAAATGGCTTGGTAGATCACATTAACACTACAAAAGATACTACGGACTACCTCTGGTATACGACAAGGTAGTTGTTACTTTCGAAGTCTTAGGGATCATATACAACCTCATTTTTTTATTTTTTTGTTTAAGTCAAATGTTTTGATCTCATATTTTGCTACCATCGTGTGTTGGTTTGGTAATTTCAATTTGGACTCATATAAAGCCTTATCCGCCTGGATACATTTTACTTTTGATCTATGCATATAATACCGAAATTTTCAAAATCTAATGGATTCTTTCGTAAAAGGAAAAATTTGTCGATTGGTATATATATATATATATATATATATATATATATATATGGTCTTCTCGAAGATTCTTGAAGGACTGATCTTTTGTTATGCCCTATATACGGGCATTAATTTTTTTTATTATAAAAAATCAGTTGTTGAGCCCTAATTTTTGAAGAGAAACATCAAAGTGACTTCCACTGCTTGTTTCTAGATAGTTTTATATGGTTCTGCTCTTATGGAATGACTTGCCTGAATCTCCCTTCTGTACCTTCACTGCACATGGGTATCTTGGTTAACCAATTCATGTAATTTGACTGCTTATATCACATATTTTAATATGTTACATGTTCTGTAGCTGTCAGAATGTTAAAAAAAATCTAGTTCTGGTTGGATTAATTGTATGAAGTTTGCAATAACGACTTAATGAAAAATAAAGAGTTGTACATGAAAACATATTCATGAAAAGCTCTGTGAAAAGCCCATTCATGTAACATTAACGGCTTTAACCATATTATTCTGGGGAATTATAGGCCATGTACAAATGCCAAACGTCCCATATCACTAGGTGTAGACTTCTTTTAGTGATTTGGACATGGGAGAACCGAATGGTTTCATTATCAAGTTTCAATTCTCATCAAATGGTTGGGGCTATTTGTATATTGGTTTTGCCATTAGAATTAACAAACATGTCACTCTAAGTTCAGTCTAGATGTAGAATTGTTCCGGCTCCACGAGAAATGAAAATTCATTACATTGGGAATTGAACAGACTTCAGTTTTTGACCAGTTTTTTCCCTCCTTGTCAATTCCAGAAAATTATTGCAAATATTGCTGACTCCACTGCTCCAAGGAAACATCCCATATGCAATTGATATTAATTTGCATGGCCTGTAAAGCTAACTCTAGACCCTCATAAATTTGCTTCCATGACAGTTTACTTGTTGACGAGACTGAAGGGTTCACCAGAAATGGAAGCAGTCCAATACTTATCGTTGAATCAAAGGGTCATGCTTTGCACGTTTTTGTCAATCAGAAGCTTCAAGGTCATCTCCCATTCTTCCATTTCTTGGGATATTTTGCTATTTAACATAGGCTAGGAGTTGTTAGCTCATGCTGTCATTTAAACTCTGAGAATTTAACTATTCTTTTTTAATGGCTGTGATATCCTGAAGCATATATTTAGTTTGTTCTCTTCAGCTAGTGCATTCGGGAATGCCACAGTTTCTCCCTTCATATTTAGAAGTCCCATCTCTCTCAAGGCAGGGAAGAATGAGATTGCTCTACTAAGCATGACAGTTGGCCTACAGGTAAATAATTAATTTCTTTTATTTAGTTGCAAATGTTCATTGGCATTTCTATATTATTCGATAAAGTAACTGTAGAAACTGTAGGGTCAATTGATTGGATTGATTCTTTGTGCTATAATTGGTTGAGTTCTTTCCATAGCAAGTTAGATGAATTAGAAAACCTTTTTTATCTTTAAATTTAGGAAATTTCTTTCCTTTTCTTCTCTCCAACATTGTACTATTAATAGAACTGTATATTTTACTATTGTATATGAGAAAAAATAATATCTTTCAATATGGTATCAGAGCTAGCAGGCCACTCAAAACCTAGCAACCAATGATGGAAAATCCCATCTACACTCCACAACCTCAGAGTTATCTCACAGTGAGGTAGAGATCAACTCGACAATGAGTTCTCATGGAGTGGAAAATACCTCCTTTTGAAGTAAAAGATCTGGTTCAAATGCGATATTTCTTAGGAATGGAAGTAGCGAGGTCAAAAAGGGGGATCAGTGTCTTACAATGACAATACATTCATGATCTCCTAACAGAAGCATGCATGCTAGGATGTAAACCAAATGATATACTTATTGATACTGGAAGGAAAATAGAAGATGATGGAGATCTTGTTTTAGAAGGACAGACATCAAAGACTTGTTAGAAAATTGATCTATCTATCCCACACTAGACCTGACATTGCTTTCCCGATAAGTGTGGTAAGCCAGCATATGCATGTTCCAAAACAAATTCATATGGAAGTAGTATGCAAAATACTCAGATATCTTAAAGTGACACTTGGAAAATGATTATTCTTCAAGAAGAATGAAAACAAGAAAGTATAAATCTTTACAGATGTGGATTGGGCAGGTTCAATAGATGATAAAAGATCGACTACTAGTTATTGTACCTTTGTCCAGGAAAATTTAGTAATTTGGAGGAGCAAAAAGCAAAATGTAGTGGGAACTAGCGCTGAAGCTTTAGAGCATATGCACAAGACATATGTGAGGGATCGTGGTTAAAGAAGCTCTTGGAAGAATTATGGATCATAGTAAAACTTCCAATCGAGCTCTACTGTAATAACTAAGTTGCTATAAACATTTCTCTTAACCTTGTACAACATGATCGAACCCAACATGTAGAAGTGGATAGACTTTTTATGAAAGAAAAGGTTGAAGATGAAGTGATTTGCATGACCTACATTCCTTCTAGAGAACAAATTGCTGATATATTTACCAAAGACTACCTAGTGAAAGTTTCGATGATTTCGTCTGTAAGCTGGAAATTGTCAACATTTACCATCTAATTTCAGGGGGAGTGTAGAAACCGTATGGTTAATTGATTGGATTGATTCCTTGTGCTATAATTAGTTAAGTTCTTTCCATAGCAAGTTAGATGAATTAGGAAATGTAGGTTGAATTGGAGAAAAAAATAGTGTATTTTCCAAACCTTAATGTACAATACAATCTCCTATTTATAGTAGTAGTGACATAATAAAAGGAAAATATAAACCTAGAAAATCTCCTATAATCACACAATATATTCTCTATATGGAAATTGGAATCCCCAATTATTCTTTCCAATCATTGTTCCCGTAATCTTGGGATTTTAACACTCTCTCTCAAGTTGGATTGTAAATGTTGATTATATCCAACTTGGAGATAAAATCATCGAATTTGGTCTAAGCAACCGTTTAGTAAAGACATCTGCAGTTTGTGCTAGTGTGGGCACATATGTCATGCAAATAGTTCCTTTCTCAACCTTTTCTTTGATAAACTGTTTGTCTACCTCTACATGTTTAGTCGTGTCATGTTGAACTGGACTAAGTGAAATGTTGAGCGCTGCTTTATTGGGTTTGATTGACAACTTTATTGTTACAAGTACTTCTTTCAAAAGCTTCCTCAACCACAGTCCTTCACATATTCCTTGTGCAACAGCTCTGAACTTAGCTTTAGCACTAATTCGAGCTACTACATTTTTATTTTTATTTTTACTTCTCCATATTACCAAATTTCCCTATACAAATGTACAGTAACCAGTAATTGACCTATCATCGATCGATCCTGCCCAATCTGCATCTGTATAGATTTCAACTCCTCTTTTTTCATTCTTTTTGAAGAATAACCTTCTTCCGGAGGTCCCCTTGATATATTTGAGTATTTTATAGACAGCTTCTAGGTGATTTTCCTTTGGTGAATGCATGTGTTGGCTTACTAGACTTACTAAGAATGTGATGTTGGGTCTGGTGTGTGATAGGTAGATTAGTTTTCAAACTAATCTTTGATATCTGTTAGATTCTACTAGATTTCCTCCATCTTCAGCTCTTTTTCCTGCATGTACAGGTGTATCACTTGGTTTACATCCCAACATGCTAGTTTCTGTTAGGAGATCAAGAATGTATTTTCGTTGTGATACACTGATGCCCTGTTTTGATCTAGTAACTTCCATCCCCAGGAAATATAGCATAGGTCCTAGATCCTTTACTTCAAACTCAGTAGCAAAGCTTTTCTTGAGTCTTTCCATTTCCATTATATTGTCTCCTGCTAGAACAATATTATCGACATATACAGTTAGAATTGTTTTAGTGCCGTCCTTAAATTGCCGAAGGAACATAGTGTGATTTGATTGTCTTTATGATATCCATGACTTTTCGGTACCTTTGCAGATTTGTCAAACCATGCTCTCGGTGATTGCTTGAGTCCATATAAAGATTTCTTTAGCTTACATACTCGGCCTTTTCCATTTTCTTTACAAAAACATGATGATAATGTTATGAAGACTTCTTCTAATTCTCTATTTAGAAATGCATTTTTGACGGTCAGTTGCTGAAGTGACCAGTCCATATTTGTTGCTAGCAATAGAAGAACTTGGATTGTATTCAACTTTGCTACTGACGCAAATATTTCTATATAGTCTATCCCGTAAGTCTTTAGGTATCATTTTGCAACCAACTGAGCTTTATACTGTTTTATCGTCCCATCAGCTTTATATTTCAGATTGAAGACCTTTTGCATCTAATCGATTTCTTTCCTTATGGTAGGTCTGTTATTTCCCAAGTGTCATTCTTTTCAATGCATTTCTTCTAATACCGCTTCTCTCCATCTCGAGATTTCTACGGCTTCCTGAATAGTTCTTGGAATTATTGTTCCGTCAAGGTGAGATGTAAAAGTACGAAATCTTGTCGACAGAGCATCATAGGACACAAATTTTGAAATGGGGTGAAGAATACATGACCATGTTTGTTTTATGAGAGCGATGGGCAAGTCTGTATCGGATATCTTTGATGCTTTTTTGGGTCTGGAGCTACCATCGATTCTGACTCTCTTGGTGCATTAGATGTGAAATTTTCCATATTATTTGTTTTTGACTTTCTTGAGTAAACTAATATTTCCTTACTATGTTTTTCTACATATCCCACTAGATTCAAGTTTTCTTCAGCTAATGGCATATTAGAATTAGGTTTAGATGATAGTGTAGGTATAGGAGAGAGACTGACGTCAAAGAACTTATCTTCATGTAAGGTCTCTCCCTGAAGAGAGGTTTTCTCAGAGTACGGAGTATTTTCGAAGAAGGTGACATTAAGACTTAAAAAGATCATTTTTGTGATCGGATCACAACATTTGTAGCCCTTTTGTGTAGGAGAATATCCTATGAGTACACATTTAATTGCTCAGGGATCAAGTTTATTCCTGTGATAGGGTGAACATGGAAGAATGCAGTGCATTCAAACACTCAGGGATATATTGGAGCAGACACGGGAAGTGGGGAAGTATTTCTGAATGTTTTGGAGAGGTGATACGAAGTTTAGAGTGCGACTAGGCATCCGATTGGTTGGATAAGTGGATTGTAAGAATAGCATCCCTCGAACATTTGAGGCACGTTTGTGGTAAACATTAAGGCGTGGGCAACTTCAAGGATATGTCTATTTTTTATGAGTTGCTTTGATGAATTATTCCATGTTTTCTTAGGAAGTCTCCCATAATGTTATTGAAGTATTCGATATCGTTGTCGGTGTGTAAGATTTGAAATTGTGTATGAATCATGGAATGAAAAGTGATAAACACGGAACGAACATCAGATTTATCTTTGAGTAGGTAAACCCAACAAAGTCGAGTATGATCATCAATAAATGTAACAAATCATTTTGTGTGAGTACGATTTGGGATCCGTGAGGGTCCCCAAACATCTCTGTGAATCATGGTGAATGGTTTTGAAAGTTTGTATCAGGATTTTGGAAATGATGTATGTTGATATTTTGCAAGTTCACAGATTTCACATTGAAAATTAACTGGTTTATTATTTAAAAAATAGAAGGGAAAATACGTTTCAAGTATTGAAAGTTGGGACGACTCATTCTAAGATGCAATAACATAATTTCACTATTTCTAGGGACACGCAGAATCACAAACTATAATTTGACAATGTTTACTCACATCAGCCTCTTCAAAGTAGTAGAGTCCTTTACTTTCTTTATCACTGCCAATCATCTTCCCCAATGATAGGTCCTCAAAAACACAATGAGAAGGGAAAAATTCAGCAAAGCAATTGGTAGTTTTTGTTAATCGGCTTAAATTGCATGATAAACTCGGAACTTGAAGGACGGACTCAAGTTATAAAATCAGAAATTTAAATACTCCATTTTCTTGTGACAGTAGATAAGGAACCGTTTGCAATTTTAACTTTAGATGACCAACATAGGTCAAATATGACGAGAATAGATGATAGGAACCCGTCATGTGGTTAGATGCTCCAAAGTCGATAATCCATGATGTTCGAGATTGGGTTGTGGATTTTAAAGGTCTCAAAAAATTATTTCTGAGTTAGTGAGCTGGAAGAATTATTTGTGGAGTACTCGCCTCATAAGGTTTTTCGCATTCAAAAGGCCCTTTATGATTTCAAGCAGTTTCCTCGAGCTTGGCTTTCCTAGTTTAGCTCAGTATTGGCTCGACAAGGCTTGAATCCCAGTGCATATGATTTAACATTGTTTATCTATCGGTTTGAGGCTAGTATTGTCCTCTTACTGTATGTTAACGACATGGTAATTACGGATGATGATCTTTCAGGCATACATGTACTTCAGCAATTTTTTAGTCAACTATTTGGGTTTTAAGGTGTCATCCTGCATAGATGGATATCATCTTTCTCAAGCTAATATGCATTTGAGCTTGTCTCATACTGGACTGACCGATATAAGATGTGGGTGTCCTTTGGAGACAAATGTCAAGCTTCTTCCCAGCGAAGGAGATATGATGACACTCTATGTCGACAATTGGTTGGTAGCCTCATTTACCTAATACCAATTTCGTCTACAAGGGGGGTGTGTTTTTTTTCCTTTTTTTTTTTTTTTGAAAGGAAAAAAAAAAAAAAGCTCCAAAACAATTTAGAACCTACATTTCAGAGATACTCATCGAGTGGACCATACCAAAGTTTGTCGCCAATAACAAATCATGAATAACAAGTTTGTTATAACCTACCTGTTGTTTGTTGCCATAGTTGAGCCTCAACCTCTATGCATGAATCATTACAAGACATACTATGAATGGCTAGTTGGAGCGGGCAGACTACTTATGATCGAGTAAGGCTTACTTATATTAATAAAGATGCAAGTTTGATAGGGAATGATCGGATGCTTCAACGGGAATGAAAGTTGTTGGGGAAAAATTTTAGGCTTTATAAGTGCATAAAAACGTGCATAAGTTGCCAAAGGAAAAGGGAGGGGGCGAGCAAAGTGAGTCATTTCAATCGAAAAATTGCTTAATCAGTGGTAAAAAAATAAAGCATTTACTCATCTTTTATATTTTACATATATAGCATTTTGCCCTAGTGAATTTCTCTATTATTTACGAGAAGTATGAAATCTTGGGTTACTAATGGTGCGACTCGTCCTGACATCTGTTACGCAGTCACCTTGGTAAGTTAGTTTTGGCACTCTCCACTGTACTCACTATATTATTGTACTCCGAATTCTTAGGTATGTTAAGGGGGACTTTGTTTCATGGGTATCATTTTTCTGCTACTCAGACTTTCAGGCATATGCTGATTGGGCAGGCGATCCTACTAATCGTCACTCTACTACTAGATATTACTTCTTGCTCGAGTCATCTCTTATTTCTTGGAGAAGTGAGAAGCAGACAGTTGTTTCTCGCTCTAGTATGGAAGCTAAATATCGTGCATTTGTTGATACAACCACTAAACTTTTCTTGTAGGATATGAGTATTTCCTTTACGAGCAGTTCTTCTATTCATTGTGACGATATTAGTGTCTTTTAGCACAATGATGTTTTTTCATGAGCGTATGAAACATATTAAGATAGATTGTCGTTTCATTCGTCATCATACAAGGCGAGATGCCCTTCGATTACATTATGTTTCTTGTGTTAATCAGCTTGTCGACATTTTCAAGGCTCATCCTCCTGGATCCTGGTTTGATTTAGAAACTCAAGTTGGCATCTTCGATCCCATGATCCCATCTTGAGTTTGAGGGGGTGTCATATATTCCTGATTTAAGAATATCTTCTTAAATCAAGATTGATTTATCTAATTTGCTTAAATTAGTTAATTCTTTGTAATTAGCATCAATATGTAACTGTTACCTTTGTAGTTGCCTCCTCTTCCTATAAAAGGACGGCCTCTTGTACAGTGTATAGATACCTTTGAATATACAAAATATTTTTCAGTTCTCTCTTTCTTTCTCCATGCTTCTCTTATTTCAACAGTAATATTAATTAAAGATATAGAACTAGACATAAATAGTTACAACTTTCCTATGTATGTTGATATGTGGTAAAAATAAAAATTGACTCCTTATCATTGTACAGAGCTAGGGCAAGGAAATTTAGTAAATTTATCTGAGTGCAATGCATCATGTACCGATATTTATTCACGACGACAAAAAATAGTCTGGACTTGCATACTCCAAAATTTTAGTGCTTTCAATTTTATCCGGAATCTAAATGAATCCATTTTAGCCATTCTGTTTAAACCAGAGGTAACTTTTTTGGAAAGTTATCGAATTTTCAATTTCTTATATATCATAAGAAAATAATTTGCTATTTTAATTGCACCTGACACAAACTCTGGTTTGGTTTGTAGAATGCAGGAGCATTTTATGAATGGACTGGAGCTGGTCCTACCCAGGTCAGAATTGAGGGGTTGAAGAATGGGACAGTAAACATGTCCTCATATAAATGGACTAACAGGGTATACTTCTATTTTTCTTTCTTTTCCATACTCGATCTTTTTATGCTTAGAGTTTAATGCCTCCAGTTTGCATCTTCGTGACATCTAATTTAACGTTGTTCAATGGCAAATCTGGCATTTGGGAATGGGTCCTAATGTTAGTATTACAAAAAATAAAAAAAAAAATAAAAATAAAAAAAAAAAATAATAATAATAGTCAATAAATTGAAGTACCTATTGAGAGAACTTGCATGAATTTTTTCTGGAAATTCTATATTATAGTTTAAACTTTACAAACTTCTTGATTTTGGGTTTGACTCCGTTGCTTTAGAAATTTGTCAGCCTTACTAGAATTTTGAGTTCAAATAGTAATAGGACTTCTAATTTTTTGATAATTGAGATATATTGAATTTCCCCATTCAAATTCTGTTTCTCTATCGACTTTTGCTCTCATTTTCCACATCAGTATTTTTCTGAGAAAGTAGACTGCACATTGAGATGATTTTCTAATGGAGTACTCTCACACTAGTAGAAGCTATTATAAAACTTCATGTTGGAGATTCCTGTCTTGGAAAAATGTGTAATATTGTAAAATTAAGCACGAACTGTTTCACTTATTTCTCTATTTTTAAGGGGCATTGAAATGGGAGAACTGAAGTGTCAAGTAGGGGTAGCTTTAGTATTGCATTAGATAGAACTTTGCCTTGAATTGTGAGCTCCAGTATCTCATTAATTTTGACTAAACAAAATGAATTTTGATTAAACAAAATGAATTTTGATTTCCAAAGGTAGTGAAGGTAATAGATATAACTAGAATAAACCTATGGCGGCTGTTTTTTCCCTAAAAGATGTAGTCTCAGCATCAGTAAGTTTTCCAGTTTCTGTAATCTCTGTAGCACAGACACTCTAACTAGAGTATTGTGCACATGTCACGTATCGATACCGATACTCTTCGGATACTCTACAATAATTATTTTTCTTTCTTACTATAGCTATTATATATTTTTAACTTAAAATTATTAGTAAATAACAAATAAGTAATCATATTTAAAAGATTTCAATAAAAAAAATCAATAAGTATAAAAATAAATTTAGACTATATAAATGAAGAATTTAATTAATGTGTCGACGACGTATCGCATTGGTACTTTTTTTAAGAATCACGAGTCGACGTATCTGATACGTATCGTGTCGGACACGCGTGTCCGTATCGATGCATCATAGTCTGTAATCAATAGGTTGTTGTAAACTCTCACCAGCGATTTGTTTAAGCTAGTACATGATTCACCAAGTCCTAATTAACAATCCTAATCTGAGATTGGATGTGATCTAACGGGCTTTGTCCATACTTATGATGGCCTTCAAAGCACCTGTGAGGATTTTTATTTTAGTTAATGTGAACCAAAATATCAGGAGTAGAGTAGAGCTTCACTGACATCAGGTATAGAACATTATGGAACTATATTGTTCATTTGATGCTGTATTTTCAGATTGGATTGCAAGGAGAAAACTTAAGGATATATGATTCGATTGGTTTGAATGGGGTGAACTGGGTATCGACATCAGAACCACCAAAAGAACAGCCCCTCACTTGGTACAAGGTAAAAACTCTGGAAATTCATTTGCTTAAACTTTGAGCTAATTATGATAGCTTCTGGAATGATTTTTTTTATTGACTTGCTTGATAAGATATAAATTTATCACCACACTACAGGCTGAATTGAACCCTCCACCGGGGGATGAGCCCATTGGACTTGATATGATTCACATGGGGAAAGGGCTGGCTTGGTTAAATGGACAAGAAATTGGAAGATACTGGCCGAGAAAGTGCTCCAAACATGAAGAGTGTGTTCAACAATGCGATTACAGAGGGAAATTTAGCCCTGATAAGTGTAGCACAGGGTGTGGAGAGCCATCACAAAGATGGTGAGCTCATAGAATAATCCAAAGAATGAATCATTACAAATTCTCCTTGTATGCTCCTAGTGAAAAAAAAAAAATCCATGATTTTGCAAAGCAGAATCCCTAGAAAAAACCTACATGAAGAGTAAATATTTGGTTGCATTTGTCTAGCTTTCTAAAATTTAACCATCATCCATAAATTTACTGAATTTTGTAAAGCTTTAAACTGAGAAATTGCAGCACATAAACATAATGGAGAGACTTAACCAATATTCACCATCTGAGGAATCCCAAGGTAATCCACTGGTGTTTAGGTTTGCAACCCAATGGCTATTGGTGTGTGTTTGTTGTCTTCTGTATGGCATCAAAGATAATTTGCTGATTTATAGTTCTAAGTTTGTTTGGGTATGGTATTGGGTGGAGTAATTATGTCTGGTTTGTGCATTGATATTGCTGGTCCACACAAGTGTTGGTCACAGATTGGTCAGCTTCGAGATCTGTTTGGTGGCTTGTCTGTTGCATGAGATTCTCCACTCGGCGTCAGTTGGTTTGAGGCTCCAACTACTGTACATATCAGCAAGTTTGTGTGATTCAGTTATAAAATAATGTGACATAACTAGTGCTATGCCTTTACATGCATCATAAAGACCATTTTCTAAAGCATCTAAAGTTGTCTTACTTTAGATTTTGGTTTAAGGTAATTTTTGATGGCCCTTTCAGCAAATCTTACTGAGATATCATCTGGTTATCCACTTCCCTGAAGCTGATTGAGGTTTTCAAAAGCAAGTTATTTCTTGTCATGAGAAGGTTTTATGCTCTCTGTTTTATCTGATCATCCTAACTAGGCTTTTATATTACAACTTCCTCCCTCAACTTAGATCTTTGAAAGTGCAGATCGACGTGAAGGCATTAAAGTTCATCATTTTGTTCCTTTTCTGTCTCTCTAATTTGACTTTGAGTTCAATTTCTCCTTTTCTGTCTTTTGGATAGGTATCATGTTCCAAGGTCTTGGTTCAAGCCATCAGGAAACGTCTTAGTGATATTTGAAGAGATTGGCGGAGATCCTACTTCAATTCAATTCTCGAGGCGAAAAATTTCAAGTGTATGCTCTCATATCTCAGAAGATCATCCTTCTTTTGACTTTGAACACTTTCAGAAAGATGGAGCTGGAGATTACAATAATAAAGCTACTGTAAGTTTGAAGTGCCAAAAGAACACTCAAATCTCTGCTGTTAAATTTGCTAGCTTCGGAAATCCTGTGGGAACATGTGGATCTTATGCCCAGGGGGAGTGCCATGATCCAAGTTCAATTTCCATAGTAAAAAAGGTGAAACAAATTTCTGAGATTAATGATGTTAAACCAGTTTACTTGCTGTTTCAATGTGCTTTTTTTCTCCTGATAAAATGGATTGGTTTTTTAAACTAGTCAAATTTAAGTGGATTTCAATGGGATGACGAGTTACTTCATTGTAGCTCTTTGGGTGTTCTTGCTGCAAACCAAATTCAGATTTTTTTTTTTTCGTGTAATGACTTGCTCTTGCTGCCGTGCAGGTTTGCCTAAACAAAACTGAATGTGCACTGGAACTAACGAAAGATAATTTTGACATGGAACTGTGCCCCGGTTCAGTGAAAAAACTCGCTGTTGAAGTGGTGTGCACCTGACATCCAAATTGTGCAAGCTGGAAGATACTGATACAAAATCTTAGATCGTTCATTATATCAGTGAGATAATTATTCTAAATTTCCACCTTGCAGCGGGAAAGCTGCAGATTTGTCTTTATTTCTTCTTCTCGGGCGAGTTCTTATCAGTTGATCGATGGCAATAATAGTTGGTGTTGTACGCTAGATATTCCTTTACCAAGAAGAAAAAAAAAATTACATTAAAATTCGAGTACTTGTTTTAAGGATCGGAAAGTGTACAAGCAACAGTATTTCCAGGTGGTTGTCTTTTGTTTCTCCTGGATGATCAATATAATTTGATATTAAGCTTACTTGATGTTAGTAAATCATGCTTGGTTCTCCTATTTTGCTCCTCGATAAATTTGTATCTATGATTTTTCTATTGTTTTCTCAATTTGTGAATATCAACATCGAGAATTGGTATCAAAGTTGTTAAAGAAGAGCTGTGAATTACTATAAATCAGAATGCCGTAAATTATCAACAGGGGCTGTAAATCTCTGTAAATCAGCATGTATCAATCACTGTAACTAGGGCTGTAAATTAGGGTTGCAAATCACCATATATATTTTTTTATAGAAAGGGCATTCTATAACAAGAGAGAAGATTGTTTACCACAGAAAAAAAACTCTATTTTGTCATGGTATTAGAGCCACAATTCTGAAAACTCTTGTTCAGTTCTTAGTTATTCTTGATGTTGCACACACCCTTTTATTAGAGTCATCTATGCTTTCTCGATTTTGGTGTGAAGCTGTTTCAACTGTTGTCTACCTCATTAGTCGATTGCCTTCTCTCTCGTTGAACCATATATCTTCCTTTACTAGGTTATTTGATCACCCTCCAAAATATTTTAACCTTTGTTGTTGAATGATTGACCTCCGATGGTGGATTTTTCGGGCTCAGTTTCACCAATCTCAACCTTATTAAACACATCCAACTATGACTCCAACCCAAACAACGATTCTTACTTCGGTTGCTCAACTCAATGTGTTCACAAAGAAAACAATATGGTGGCTGCAAGGAATAACCAAGAGTAGAGGAAGACAGATTCAATTTTAAGGCTCAAGAGAGAAAACAAGAGAAAAATGTCGGCTGCCTCTTTTCAATTGCACACACACACGGCTTACTCAACAATGAGGCCAATATATAGTTTTAGGGTGTAATAATATAGTGGGCTCATGGACCAACTAATGGTTAAGGGGGGCGGAACACAAATTGAGCCATCCAAGAAGTAAATGGGCTCTGAACAACATTAACTATATTAAGTTGCTTCAAACGACCCTCAAATTATTTTTCGGGTTGAGCCAATTAATCGAGCGTGTTAATAAATATTTCAATCATCGGCCGAAGTCTATGGAATCTAATCCGATTATCCAACACTATTTAATATCATTGCCCGAGATTATTGGGTATAAAAAACCCAACAGTTGTGTATGTTATGTTCATCTTTTCGCAAATGAACGAGCAACTCATAGCTCAGTCAGTACAATGTGCTTTTCTAGTTGTACACCAAAATGGTTATCTTTGCGATGATCCAAAATTACATCGTATTCGGGTTTCTAGAAATATAATTTTTCTAGAAAATCAATATTTTTCACCACTCACCTAGATCTCCCTCTTCCATCATTTTCTATTTTGCCATTGTTGTCTAACCCTCCTGCACATTTGGTAACTCACAAGTCTCTCCTTGTATACCAAAGAAGATCTTGCTCTGCAATAAATCACTTTCCAGCACCTCTTGAACCTCCCTCCAAGTCATCTCTCGACTACTGATTATTTTGCAGCAACTACACATGCTCCTCTCATATACAACATTCGAGTTCGTAGGCCCTTAGATAGGTCTGGTTTTACTCATCCTTTATCCTTGATAACCATATTATCTTCTATTCCTATTCCCTCATATTATAAACAGGTAGTTGAGCATGAGTATTGGCAGAAAGATATTGAAACAGAATTTCTTGCACTTGAAGAAAATTAGACTTGGGATGTCATTCTATACCCTCCATCCATTACACCTCTGGGGAGTAAGTGGGTGTTTTCCATCAAGCTTCTTTCTGATGGTTCCTTAGACCGTTACAAGGCTTCATGGTTCTTAGCAATAGACAAGATGATGAGACATTCGCACTAGTGGCAAAGATGACATTAGTGCGAACAATTCTAGCCATTGATGCATTTAGATACTAGCCCTTATATCATATGGATATTAAGAATGTATTCCTACACGGTTATCTCTTGGTATGCCTACTTCCTCACCTACTGATGTTTGTAAACTAAAAATTGTTTATATGGTTTGAAACAAACACCTAGAGCATAGTTCGAAAAATTTCAAACCACTTTTCTTGATTTTCCGTTCATTCAAAGTCAATATGACTTATCTCTTTTCTACAGAGAACTTACAATGGCATAGTTGTCCTTATTTATGTGGATGACATCTTTTCACTGGTTCAGATATGGCGGCCATCTCTACAATTCAGAAATTGATGCATTCTAGTTTCCATATGAAAGACCTTGGCCAACTCACCTATTTTTTAGGGTTGAGGTGATCTGCCGAACTCAGGGTCTTTTCTTAGATCAAACCAAGTATATTCAAGATGTGGTTTAGTTAGCAAGGCTCACATACACTACTTCAGTGGACATCCATATGGAAATTAATTTGAAATATAAGCGTGATAAAGGAGAGCTCCTTGAGGATCCCAATCTCTATCAAAAGCTGGTTAGTACTCTTATCTAACCATCACCCAACCATACATCTTTTTTGCTGTCCTCATCATCAGCATGTTCATGAAGACAACATGGCATCTCCACCTAGCCGCTGTCTTTCAAATCATTTGATACATCCTTGGCATACCTAATCGTTGCTTATTCTTCCCTAGTGGCTCTTCACTCTAGGTGCAGGCCTATAGTGATGTTGATTGGACAGATAGCTCCAACACTAGTAAATATACTACAATATGGTGTATGTTCTTTGGTAATGCTCATCTCTTGAAAATGCAAGAAGCATGACTGGATCTCCAAGTCATCCCTTGAGACTGAGTATCATGCCATGTTTGCTGCTTGTTCTGAAATCATTTGGCTATGTAGCCCATCATAGAGCTTGGTTTCTCCCAGGTTCAACCCACTACACTATATGCTGACAACACTAGTGTCATCCAAAATGCATTAAACCCTATCTACCATGAGCACAGGAAGCACATAGGGGTTGATTGTCACTTTATTCGAGATGCCTATCACCCTCCCACACATTTTAATTACTCTACAGCTTGCGGATATTTTCACCAAACCCATGACCAGCCAACGCTATCATTTCGTTGTTAGCAAATTAATGCCTGTAAATCTATTGGCATCAATTTGATGGGATGTTAAAGAAGAATTGTAAATTACTATAAATCAGCAAGTTGTAAACCATATCTAAGAGGTTTAAATCAACATGTATCAATAACTGTAAATATGCTCTAAATTAGATCTTAGGGCATTGAACTAGGGCTACAAATCAGTGTAAATCAGGTCAGTAAACTAGGTCTATAAATCATCTCTAAGGCTGTAAATTAGGGTTGCAAATTAGCACATATATTTTCTATGTAAAAGGTATTCTCTGTTGGAGACGACTTAGAGAAACGGGCTATGTAAGGGTTGGTTTTGGAAATTTGGACAGAGTTTCAATATATATAATGTGGTAAACTATTACACAAAACAAGGATTAAGAAGGAGTAGAAATAGAGAATAATCCAAGACGAAACATTATCTTTTTCTTTAAGACAAATTGCCCCATTACGGTGTTCATGATGAATGACACTTGTCTCCCAAGATACAATAAATTCACAAATTGTGGTAGTAGTATTTCAAACCACAAGAAACTGACGAACTTTTGACAGAATTTTTCCCCTACAAAGGAAATGCATGAAAATGTTATAGAATTAGAAATGAGAGAATTGCAAGAGGAGAATTAATACTCAATGCAATTGGTGCATCCAAACTCATATCCATAGGGTCCTATTTATCGATGTAGAAAGGGTGTAAACGAAGTAGTGTGGGCCAAAACATGCATCCTTTCGAAAAGTTGCAACACTTCATTTCTTCCAAATTAGGTCCACAATTTCTCACTCATCCGGAATTGATTTCGAGATTCCAAATATACCATGACGATCTACTCGACGAGTAGAATAAGTTGGTTAATTACTTTTGTAATTTGACCATCGGATCAAATCCGAATATTTGGTCGAAGTTGACACATAGTCACACCTTTTCATTTTCCACTTTTACACACCTTTTCATTTTTCAATTTTTGGTTAATTATTTGAACCAATTCCTACAATCCCCCCATGAATGAAAATACGGATACGCATATGTAAATGCGATGATATGATGTAATGTAGAGAGTGTGCTAAAAAATACTGCATCAGGGATGGTGGCTTCTGGCCTTGAACCTCCTTAGTGAAATACTATCGGACTTACTCGACTAATTGATGAACTCTAGGTCTTGAATCATTCAGCCTTTGGTGTAAGTCAAGACAATAGTACTCACACAGATATCTTCCCTATTCTGCACTTAGTTCTCATGACTTGGTTTATTTTGACCATGAACCCTTCTTCGTTTCATAAGTGTTTAGAGAATTCAAATCTTAAACAATTCTTATCGAAATAGCCCCACTTCACACTTACATATGTGACCTCATATTAAGAATATTCTACCCTACTCTACTTGACTTAATCAAGATATAGGAATCATTAAAAGATAATCTTAGCCTCTATCCACTTTGCAGAAAGCACTTTAGTATCATAGGAATGAGTTAGGAATTCTAATTTCCTAAGTGTTTCATGGAATTTTCACAACTTATTTATCCCTTTAAAATAAGATCTTGGGATCTCCAGTCAACAAGGTAGGATTACCATTGCAAAAACTCTTACGTAGTAGGCTTTAATCCCATTCCTCTCGATAAGCAGCCCACTTGACCTCTAGGCAAACTTTTCGTAAGTGGATCCGCAATATTCTCTTTTAATTTCACATAATCTATGGAGATAGCGCCATTTGAGATCAGTTGCTTAATGGTGTTGTGTCTACGACGAATATGTCTAAACTTACCATTATACATGCTGCTTTAAGCCCTTCCAATTGCTGATTGACTATCACAATGTATACTTATCGCAGGTACTGGCTTGAGCCAATATGGAACATCTTCTAAGAAATTTCGAAGTCATTCTGCTTCTTCTCTAGCTTTGTCTAAAGCAATAAACTCAGATTCCATCGTTGATCGAGCTATGCACGTTTGCTTTGTTGATTTCCATGATACATCAGCTCCATCAATGGTGAGTACATAACCACTAGTGGACTTGGAATCCTTCATATTG